CGAGAGCCACGATGCTTGAGGCTAGGTCGAGGCTGAACCTCGAGAAACACTTCCTGTCACACAACGGCCCACAACTACCGGGACCAAATAACGTCCCGCTTTCCCTCGCGATCATCGAAAAGTCGTCATTTTATCACAATTTTTCGATAACCGCGACTTATTACATATTTTAAAAATAAATTTGACAAGTTATAATTAATCGTTAATAAAAAAAAAAAAAAAAAAAATAGCAAACCAGGCCGTACGAACATTAAACTAAATATTAAACAAGCGCTAAATTTTTTTAAAGATGGGGATTTTTTTTGAAGCTTTGTCCCTCCTGTAACAGGTGTTCGAGATGTAAACGAATTATTCGCGGTCGAGTGGTAAATATCGCGCGAGTTTCAGCCGGGATACCAAGTGCGTGGGCAAGACACCCCCGCTCACACTTCGGATTTACGAGAGCCGGAGAATTTCCGACACGCGCGCCGGCCGACTCTACTTGCGCGCACAGGGCGCGATTTCGGCAACGCCGAAATCGATAGGAATTTATCGTTAGCGGTTAACGCGTCTTAGCTATTGACGATGCTATGTGACGGATGCGCAGCACGCATCCGATCGCGCAATATTCACACATAGGATCGCGATCGCGAGATCAATCCATTCTAATAAACCGAGCAAGATAATCGGACGGCAAAATCTCTCGGTGCGACGTTCGCATTGTTCCTGGCTCTGTTCAAAGGCGCACGAGAGCGCTTCTCGCATTCCCACGGTGTTCTCGCTCCATCACGGCGCGTACGCTCCTTTTCGAATCCTCTCGTAATATTTACCCCGCTCTCCTGCCCGCCGTACTGTTTCCAATAACTGGGCGACGAATTGAGCTGCACAATCGAACCGGTTCCGGACAGGTTGCACGGGCTGGACGTCCGAAATCGGTCCGCCACCGCGGCGTTCTGCAACTGTCCAAGTTGACTCGGGTTGGGATTCCTGTGCTGACTGCCGCCGGACGTCACCAGCGGACCGGCGCGAGAATGATGACGATGATTGTACGGGACCTGCAGCAGATTCGTGCCGCTCGCGAGTCCCGGACTCATCGAAACCTGCCGCACGTGCGCCGCGTTCTCCACCTGAACATACCGCTGGCTGACCTGAGCGCTTCGCCGAGCCTTGCAGTGATTGTTCTGACCGGCGGTCTTCGACTCATGACCGGACTTGACGTCGATCCCGAAGTCGCTCAGCTTGAAGTTCTGTTGGTTCATCTTGAAGTCCGCATTATTCTTGAAACTCCGATCCATCTCGATTCCGCTCGTAATAATCTTTGCCGCCGAGGAAATAAAATCTGACTTCGAAAACTCGCGTTGTAACTGTCTATTCTCAAAAAGTGGGATTTTTATAAATCAAGTGGAAACACATCCACGTCTTACTGACACTCGTCGCTCAAGTATTTTCTGCGAGCAGAATTCCTCGCTCGTGGCGAAAACGCGACAGGTGAAGAACGAGTGATGAAATTAATCGCAGGTGATATATGTTTGATGACAGTTCATCACCGATCACGCAGCACTGCCTTGATACGGATTCGATCCGTGTTACGTTGCACGTAATCCTTCCGATCCGCGATTTGCCGACGCGACTTGTCATCGACGGCGACGCACTCCGAAATGGACACCTTTGAACGTCTTCCAATATTCGCGAGTCGAATTTTCACTCGGCTGGCAAACCCTTCCGCCGCTTGGCGATCGCGCGGATTCTGTCACCGTCGAAATAATAACCGTAGTAACGACGAAACGGCCTTGCGAGCGTCATGAAGCGACATGGCCGCTATTTATCACGCCACTAGACGACGAATTAACATTTAGTGAAATCCGAGAGCTTCGCTCGCGCGAATCGGAAGTTGCAACGATCGCGGTGATTATTACGGATCAAAAGGGACGTGTTTTGTTACGTTCTTTCTTTCGCTCAATCGTTAATCAGCAGTGAAAGTCGCGGGACGAACCGCTCGAGTTTCGAGAGCGGCGGAAGAATCATCTTTAACTTTGCGTCTCGAGGAACGAGACGGAAGTTCTCGGCATACTCGACAAATCGATAGAATCCATCGTCGAACGACAAAATTATTGCCGTCGGCAACAGGCCGTTCGAGGCTGCGACGATAGCCGATAACGAGTAGATTTATGAAACAAATCGCGCTTATTTCTCCGTAACATCGACCGATAAAGTTCTCAACTAGATTCCCGCGTAAACGATCCACGTGCCGTTAAACGCGTCCGAATCGCGATGCCAAGCGGAGGCGATTCTATTTTTGCAAAACATATCGACCGTGTCTGACACACACACACACACACACACACACACACACACACGCGCGCGCACGGCTCGTCCCGTCGACACTTTCGACGGGCCGGTCGAATCTCGTAATACGACGGATTCGCGTCGATGCGAACGCAATTATATTACACGGTGTCACGCACGAATCCGCCACAATACACACATACACAGTTTTGCAGCGTAGCGTTTTTCCCTCGGCGTTCCCGATCGGCTTGCCGCCGCACTTTTCACATTAAGGGACTTTTCCCGTTGACGGCAGAATTTCCGAAACGACGACGGCGTGCACACCCACTGCGAAACGCACTCGCCGCGCGGAATGTCCCACGGCGGAAACAATCGAGACGGAGGGAAAAAGAGAGAGAGAGAGAAAGAGAGAGAGAGAGAAGAAGAGAGAGAGAAGAGAGAGAGAAGAGAAGGATAAACAACGACACGATGTAGCCAGTAGAGAGACGACTGTTGTGTACTCGACTCATAAGGCTACACACCGCACACAGCACGGAGGAGGCTTGGGGGTCCAGCACTACCCCCTCCACCAGACGATTACACACAGCAAGTTGTGCTACTCCCCCCGTACGAAGTCTTCTACTCCATGATGTGCGGCACTCTCCTTCCTTCCTCTCTCTCCTCTCTATGTGCGCTCTCTCTCTCTCTCTCTCTCTCTCTCTCTCTCTCTCGGTTGTTCTCTTTCTCTGCGCCGTTCCTCGAGGCTCGACCCCACGAGGGACGCTTGCAGTCTTTCGCGCGTATGCACTTCGCCGCAGACGAAGAGTGCAAGCTTTGCACTCTTTGCGTGAGAGTCGAGTAACGTTTGCGCGGTAAAAAAAATCGTGGGAATTAAGATCGGGAGGCTGCCTTCGGAAGAAGCGGAGAGCGAGATTCGCATAATGATGTAAACTCGTGCCTCCGATCACATCGCGTCTGGCATTGATTGACGTCCAGACTCCCGATATTTACATTCCCGATGTAACGTATCGTAACGATCTCTTTTGTGACATTTCCAGCATTCGATCGAGTTATGGCACTGGTGCGCAGCACCATCATTTCCTCTCGTCGATTTTCGATGCAATTAAACTCGAGCGCTTATTTCGTGATTACTCGAGCCAATGCAAAAGCTTGCATAACGTCCCAGATAATATTTAATAGCATAACATTCGCTCGATAATAATGTAGATCATAGAAAAGTGTAAACCGAGTCGGATATTGATTCGAGGGGGCGAGCGTTGTTTACAACACTGCCTATCTGCCCCTCGTTTCACGCTGGATCATTAATCGTGGATCGACGCGATATCTTAATCGCCTATTACTTTCCGTTTCATTTTTTTTCTCGTTACAAGGGGTCAAATACCTCGGCGTAGCATCGGGCATTATTTCCAAGCCATCAGCCGTGATGCGATACCATCGATCTACCAGCCGTTTCTCGTAGTCGGCAACTTTCGTCAGGAGTTTGCGAAATGCTTAATCTTTAATTGTTCATTTTATCAAAAGTCGGAAAAATTCGCCTATCCCTTCTGCGTTCTCGTTAACATCGAAAGATAATTGCACAACGTTGCAACTTTTTTTTTTCAAGAGAACAATCGCCGAATAAAAATAAAAACCGTTATACTTGGCAGATCAAAGAAATCGAAAAATCTTATATTAATACGAAAGATAAATAGAGAGAGAAAAGGAGAGAAAGAGAGATACATCTTATCAAGGTATATACTGTAAAATTTAGAAAAGGATCGCTTGTTCAAGCGAATTCTATCGAGGAAGATTCTATTGGAAAAGCCTTCTTGTTTCAAGATTAATTCGCCACTGGCTCGTAAAAAAACGAGCCCGCGTCGCTCGTCAAATTGCGACAGTACTCGATTCTCTCCAAGCTTCCAAGATGCGGTTCGCATCCCGCTGCACTACGCCTTCTTTCTCTCTTCATCTCTCGTTGGGCACCGTCGCGGGAATACAGAAATAGTTTATCCGCGGAGGGATTTCGGGAAAGAGAGGAGGCCGAGCGAAGCGAGATGGCGGGAGAAAAGAGGAGGAAGGTGAACCGGGGAGGGAGAGAGAGAGAGAGAGAGAGAGAGAGAGAGAGAGAGAGAGAGAAGAAGAAATGAAGGCTATCGCTGACACGCGCGTGAGAAATGAAATCGTTTTCGAGAGCGTGTTGCGCCAGCTCCAGTATCGAGAAAGATAGAGGAATAATCGCGAGCCGATAAAAGTATTGAGCTTTATCAGCGAAGCTGGTCGATAACGGCCTTATAAATAAGAATATTCCTACGAGAAACTGGGAAAGGGTTGGAAGTACTAATCGGAATGATAAGCTGCGCCGCATGGCCTCTGGTCCTATTAATATAAATGAATTGCTTTGACACCCGTGGTGCTGAAGTTTGACAACGAGCGAGTTATGTCACGGTTTTTCTTCTCTCTTTCGTTCTTCGTTTTTTTCCCCCCCTCTTATTCAGCGAGTCGTAACCGAGATGAGGCTGCAATCGAGATAAATAGATCTAAATGCCGCTTGAATATTTGACATTAATCGATAAGTTTTAAATGATAAAGTGCGCGACGGAAGTATTTCTATTTAATTCTAAAAGATAATTAAATAATATGTTTAACGGAGGAGAGGAGCAAATATTTTGTCGTTGTCAGTTCCTTGTCAATTGGATCCTAATCGCTGAAGATTTACTCGAATTTTCTCAATTAACTGCGGCTCGATGCGAAATTCGGTCGAGCGGGCAAAAATGTTTGCTAAGCGTATCGCGCGCGCGAGGCATCGTTCGATATTCACGAGCCGGCATCACTAAACGGGCCATTAAATTATTCACCGAAAACCGTAACGGCCACTTTAACCCGGGCTCGTACAGACCGGGGGCTGGACCACGTGCGCGTGCACGACGAGAGGGAGACACCGCGTGGACAATAATTCACGTTTTATTTCCTCCTCGCGGCAGGACGTGTAGGAAAGGAAAGGACACGCAATGATAAAAATGTCGCCGCGGTCGACGCGGCGGATCAGAAATCTTAATATGTCCCGGTCGGGTGTCCACGGTGGCCCGGTGGAGAGTCAGCGATTTCCAGCCAATATAAATGTCCTACATTGATTTAGTTCTCCCTTCCCATCTCCTCTCTCTCTCTCTCTC